TGATAGTATCCCTCCTCTCTACATACTGTTTTTCTTTTTTTTTTTCCTTTTCTCTTTCTCTGCTGTGTGTTTTCACCCCCTTTTCCTCTTCATGCAGTCCTTGTCTTTTCTTTTTTTCTTCTTTTTTTTTTCTTTCTTCCTTTCTTTTTTTCTTTTTTTTTTTTTCTCTCGACAACTGTTCCTTATTTATTCATAAATAAATGTGAGCGTATGTACACCTGTTCCTCTCTTACTGTTTGCTACCAGTACTGCTGTGGGTTGATAGTCGAGAAAGACGGATCGAGGGAGAAAGAAAAACAAACTGAACGTGAGGGGCGAAAGAAATAATCGCATCAATTCAGTTTCACTGGTACTCCTCGGCGGATGGTGCCCCAACCAATCAGACGGAAGTTTTTCTCTACGAGGCGTGAAATGGCCACCTGTTCACCCATTGTGCAGCAGACAGGAGTCACTAGTGTCAGCTTGGCAATATCCGGGTCCTTTGTGATATTCACTACAGTGGCTCCTGCTGTGAGGGTACCCACGTTGATTTGAAGCGTCTCTTGCAGATTAAGCTTCTGCACACGCTTGGCATTGCGATCACGTTGTTTACTGCGCACCACCATCTCTGCGAATAGACTGTACTGCACCTCAATCTCCGCATACACCTGCGGCAGGGATCCCTCATCTCCAATCATGTGACCCACCATCTTATCTTGTCGGGTGAGTGTGGGGTCCAGTGTGGTACCAACCGCAATGAGACCGCCGGGAATAGCGTACTGAAGAGAGTTATCCTCCGCCTTTAGTGTTAAAGCGCGTGTGCGGAGTGGTGTACAGCTGAAGGTGCCACCGCTTTGTGTATGGACTTGTCCAGGACGAATCTCCACCACTTGATTTACACGAATAATACCCTGAGTTACCGTACCACCCGCCACACCACCACGGAGGTTTTCAATATCTACCTCACCAGGCTTGTTGATATCGAATGAACGTACCACAGTCATACGAGCAGGGCACTTTAACTGGCGTGTAGGAAGAGGCATATGGCACAAATACTCCAGCAGGTAATCCACATTCCGCTTTAATTGTGCGGAAATAGGAATAATAGGAGCATTAATACCAATAGTACTGTCAATATAGCGACGAATTTCGTGGTACTGATCCTGTGCATGGACCTCACCAACAAGATCAATCTTATTCTGAAGAATGATAAGATTACGTAACTTCATAATTTCAACTGCCTTAAGATGCTCAAGTGTCTGAGGTTGTGGGAATCTTTCATTTGCGGCAATGAGCAGTAGGGCGGCATCCATAATAGCGGCACCATTCAGCATGGTTGCCATCAGCACGTCGTGACCGGGGCAATCAACAAAGGAAAAGTGTCGCTTTAACTTCAATGGGGTACCGCAGGTTGGGCAGTCTGTTTTGTCTGGCTGCGATGATGGAAAGGCGTGGTAGGCGGCTGGCAACTCACACACATCACACTTGAACACCTTCGCGTTGGCGTAACCAAGATGGATAGTGATATTCATCACCGCCTCACGGTGATACTTCTGCGTCTTCACACCACTGAGTGCCTTCACAACGGTAGACTTTCCATGGGCCACGTGGCCAATAGTGCCAATGTTAACAGTGGCCTGCCGCGACATCACCTCAAATGTCTCCACAGTGATGGAGTCGAGGTCAAGTGCATCAATGTTTTGTACTGCCAGTCCACGATCGTTTTCCTCATTCTTTCCGAAGGTGTTCTCGTCAAGTGTGAAGTCCGCAATATCGTTTTCACCCATTTTGGCCTGATATTCCCTTCTTGTTTCTTTTTTTTCTCTCTCTTTCTTTTTGAGTACGGAGAGGTGAAGAAAAGAAAAAAAAAATAAGGTTAGATTGAGAGGGAAAGAGGGTACAAGTAAAGAAAAATGGAATAAAGGAATGGAAAAAACAAACAAACAAACACACAAACGCACACAAACAGAGATACAAATAAAGAGAGAAAGAGAGATGCATGTGCAAAGAAAACCGGGAATGTCTCCTTTTATTAAACCTTACCTCCATCGGCAAGTACTACAAGTACTGAACTCACCACCCCACCCCACCCCCAAAAAAGACAACAACAACAACAACAACAACAACAACAACAAAAAAAAAAACAGAAGCATAGTACAATGTTTCCAATATCATGTAACAACATGAACAGGAACACCGCGTTTGATAACACCCCACCCAATGAGTCTTATTTTTCGATGTATGAAACGCATTAGGGCCAAACGTTCACCGCATTCGCAGAATACAGGACTTTCAAGACGTAGTTTTGCTTTCCCATGTGCTGTACGCAGCACTGTGGCGGCGGTGGTCAAGGTGTTAATATTTAATATAATCGTTTCACCGTCTCTCAGTTTTTCAACACGCTGCGTTGTTATTGGTACTGTACCTCCATCTTTCTTTATCACACTAGTACCATGCGCGACTCCAAGAATCTCCTTTAATAGAAAAAACTGTAGATCCACTTCCTGATAGACTTTCATCGCTTCTGCCTCATCATTTACATTTACACCTTGACGATCTTGTGGGACCACACGAAGCACCTGTCCACGGAGTTTATTCTGACGTGTAAGAGAAGGATCCAAATAAGTGCCAACAGCAATGAGTCCACCAGGCAACGCATACTGCAGGGGATTAGTCTCTGAAAGAAGAGAACGTACAGTTGTGCGTAGTGGGGTCATATGTAATTCACCAGGTGGAGGTGCAGTCATAAAGGAAGGATCTTGTCCACTAAGCATTCCACTACGAGTAGGCAATTTACCATCGCGTCCTGTAAGTGCGAGAAGTCCAGGAAGCAATTCTACACTATCACCTACACGTAAAACCCCTTGTTGAAGTGTACCCCCAACCACTCCCCCCTCAAGAGCCTCTAAAGCATGTCCAGGCAATGTGACATCAAAGGAACGAAGAACGTAGAGTCGTGGTGGTGCCCGCAAACAGCGTCTAGGAAGAGGCATATGGCACAAATACTCTAAAAGGTAATCTGTGTTAAGTGAGAGTTGTGCCACGATGGGAATTATGGGAGCATTTTCAAAACTTGTATGCCTCTTTAGATGGTGTCGAATAATAGATTGTTGTTCCTGTGCATGTTCTTTTGTAACAAGGTCAATCTTATTGTGGAGTACAACAAGCGAAGTAATCTGCATCATTTCCACTGCGGCTAGATGCTCAAGTGTCTGAGGTTGTGGGAATCTTTCATTTGCGGCAATGAGCAGTAGGGCGGCATCCATAATAGCGGCACCATTCAGCATGGTTGCCATCAGCACGTCGTGACCGGGGCAATCAACAAAGGAAAAGTGTCGCTTTAACTTCAATGGGGTACCGCAGGTTGGGCAGTCTGTTTTGTCTGGCTGCGATGATGGAAAGGCGTGGTAGGCGGCTGGCAACTCACACACATCACACTTGAACACCTTCGCGTTGGCGTAACCAAGATGGATAGTGATATTCATCACCGCCTCACGGTGATACTTCTGCGTCTTCACACCACTGAGTGCCTTCACAACGGTAGACTTTCCATGGGCCACGTGGCCAATAGTGCCAATGTTAACAGTGGCCTGCCGCGACATCACCTCAAATGTCTCCACAGTGATGGAGTCGAGGTCAAGTGCATCAATGTTTTGTACTGCCAGTCCACGATCG